ATTACAAAAAACGCACACTTTTTCTAACTTTTCCCAATCTGAGTTTATTAATAACGTTTTATTTATTAAGAAGCAGAGAAAACGTTTTGGAGCGTTTTTTTCCTCTTTATTTATTTATTTAATTTTTGTATGTACGTAATTCCTCGATTACCCCGCTTTTAAACAGCCTGAAATATTTGTGAAACCGATTGTCCAGCCTATGCAAATTATTAGTGTATTAGTGTATTAAATACTTTATAAAAAATTAATGCAGAAGTATTCGTAAAGTTAATTATAGAGAAATGAAGTATTAACTATGGCCATTTCCTTTTCTTTACCAAATGTCTCGGGAAATCTTACTGAAACTGAAGATAAAAATGTATTTAAATTTATTACCGAAAAAATTAAAAAATATATTAAAGCATTACTCAATTAATAATCCAAACGAACAGAGTGTCTAAATAAAATTATACCCAGACTTAATTTCAGTACAACATTGCTTTTATTGGTGTATCTGTAATATTGTCTTACATGTAATATACTCCATTGTGGCATGTGTAATGAAGACTTAGTACAGGAGGTTATTGAAACTGATTTCTTGCTACCAGTAGACAAAATTCAGTTCTTTTTGTGATAGAATCATGTTACTTTTTAACAAATTTGTATATATTAGCCTTGGTTGGGGTAGTAATACGAAATTTAGCTTGAAATTCTTCTTGACTCATTTTAATAGAGACATTCTTCATATTACTCGACAACAAAAATTCTTTGCTCCATTGGTATCACCGTTTTAATGTACTGATCTTCTTCAATGACCCGAAGTTGCATAAATAAAGTCTTTAACTACTGTGATACTACTTTATAATTGACAAAATAAAATTTCAACCAAACATAAAGCAAAATGGTGTGCCTAACAGTATCAATACAAACCGAATCACCATCCTTTTCCATTCGTCTCATTCATGCTTTTATTTGGGACACTCTGTATATGCATGGCCAAAGTTCAGATATACAACAATTTATCTTTACTTCGAATTTTAGTCCACCACTTCCAGATTTGGCCAAGGGAAACTGAGTAAAGTTAGAAATTGTCTTTATTCCGATTTTAAAGACTTTTCACAATATTCATGTTCTTGTTTAATCGTTAACACATAATTAAATATCTATGTGATAATTTATCTGCGCAGCGATAAAATAATATAAAATAAATGTAATAATAAATGTAAAGAATAACAAAAAGATAAGAGTGCGTGTTTATCGAAGTATAAAATTACTTAAAGCAGCTGCATACAAAACCTTCAGTCAATTTATTGCATTGTTCCACACAGCTGATTTATATAATACACAAAAGTCAAACGTGATCAATAAGTATGTCATAGGGTTTGACGTTATTGGCATCCTTCTGTTGTATTTCATATTAAAAGCTTATGGAAATTGATTGCGCTGCCCTACCGATGAACTATTAATTGACTGTAAACTTGGAAATGACCCTAAATTTCGAAGAAACCAGATGACGGTGACCAACGAGGCACCAGTGCTTAGGTTAATTTAAATTAAAATCTATTTAGATTTACTGCTTTGCCTAAGACTACCAGCGACCTAGAGGTAAAATTGCTAAACACTGATGGTTCGACCTGCGGTTGAATCCCGGTGAGTGGGCTGGCTGCAAGTTTGGTTTTCGTGTTTTTCCTTCTTTCTCGCTATAGGCAGATAGCCCTCGAGGTGCTTTGTTTTAAGCAATTAACTTAACCAAGCCTACTGCTTTGACTAACCGCGGACCAAAAATTTTGACAAGCAATTGTGTCTTTAAATTTAATTTTAATCTAAAAATCTATCTAAATCTATTGTATCGTCTTACACACAATGATCTGTAGGTTGAAAGACAGTAATTGTAAACAATTCAGTTGCTAGTCGCTGTAACTATAGGCTGATTGTTACTATGGCGTGGCAGTGTGGTGAATTTAAATAGCTAGTAAAATTAAAATTAAACTAGAGTACTTTGGTGTCTATCAAGGTTAATCTTCACCAGTGATATACTTGTTGATTAGTACTAGAAGTCGACCGATATTTCCTTGGTGTAGAAAGGTACAATAAATTTAGATGGGTTTTTAGAAGAAAATTAAACCGAAGAGGACCAGTGTCCGTCAAAGTCACCGGTTACAGACGGGATTGATCACCGGTAACTTATGGGTACTGACGGTTGATCATTGGGTTGTAGAGACATTAGGATTTTTTGGAAGCCAGAGAGATGAAAAATTAGCAACCTCCTTTGCCGGGAATCGAACCACGGACCTCTGGAATACCGGCCCAGCGTGCAGAACCACTACACCACGAAGGTCGCTAGGAAAGTGGGAGAAATACCTTATATACTCCCCTTTTTAAAGGGCGACTAGTGTTTTAGGGGACCTAGTCGCCAAATCGTGGGTGTGGAGAATCATCATCCACAGCCCTTTTAGTTCGGGCGCCACTGTAGAGACATTAGGATTTTTTTGGAAGCCAGAGAGATGAAAAATTAGCAACCTCCTTTGCCGGGAATCGAACCACGGACCTCTGGAATACCGGCCCAGCGTGCAGAACCACTACACCACGAAGGTCGCTAGGAAAGTGGGAGAAATACCTTATAGGGTCACCCGCGTGCAGCATTGCAGCAAATTCAAAAAGATTTTAGGAATTATATTAAACCATAGTACACGAGTATTGGAGAGGTTGAACCGGTGACTGCTAACGGTGTCTGTCAGTTCACACTGTTAAACACTGACCGGTGGTCTTTAACGGCGTAAATTGATAGACACCATTGTGAAGCTTGTTGCAGAGTCAACTTCCGTTCAAATATGCGGAAAATAAGTACTGCAGGATTCCCATTAGTTCATTAACCAGTTATTTTAATTTTGGTATCTTTTCTGAATTGTCTTATTTCCCTGTTGCATTTCCTCGCGAGGATGCAAATTAAGTAGGTGAAGAGAGTGTTTAAACGGGTGAAACGAAAAAGTTACATAGAGCGTGATTTAGCTAGAGAAGCGCACTTTTGTTATTTTGTTCTCCAGCTGTTAATCTTAGTAGCGGTTACGCATTCTGGCCGTTTATTTTTAGTCTAAATACTACCGCCGGTGTAGGTTGCTGAGTTAGCTTGTTAGATTAAATTAAATTGTGTCATCTAATACTACGTCTTACCTTTTGAATTTATTGTTAGATTATTTTTAAGTTCTCACCGCAAGTAGTCGGTGCTTTTGTAAACATAAAGTTCGTGCCTTTCTCTTAAAGAGTTGGTGGTAAATAATAAGAGCTTTTTACACCCTTTCACCGTTGCATTCATCTTCACGCCTGTACGAGAATTCGCCGGGTTGAAATTTGAGATCTAGACCAGTGCTCCGCAACCGGTGTGCCGCGGCACACTGGTTTGCCATGAGTAGGATATAGGTGTGCCGCAATCAAATACATGTATTTGACATTTTGCAATTTTTTATCATGTATTTAATACACAATGACAATTTTTTTCCGTAATATCTATTTAAATGTTTTTATATATTTCACTGTTGTGTGGTTGTGTGTGTGATTGTAAGTGTGTCAGCATTTGAATATTTTCGGCACTTCCTTGATAACTCGGAACTCTTTGGTGTGCCACGAAATTCCAGAAAGATTTTTTGTGCTTCGCAGGTGAGAAAAAGTTGCGGAGCACTGATCTAGACATATTGCATGATAACCTAAGTAAGACAAATGCCATAGTACGTGGTAAGTAAAAGTAACGTAGAATAATGGAGTGCTCCAAAAATTTCAGGAAGTTACCACGTAGTAAAACAAAGGTTCCAATCGGCAATCAATTCAATAAAATAGAAGTTTTTATTTGGCTTTTGATCTGACTAGACCCTTGCACAGTAACTGAAGATATTTTGGACATTAAAATCTTTACTGGCACAATGTAATGAAGAACAACTTTTTGATGATATACCACACATCTTATCTACGCTAAAAACATTGACAAAAATTAAAACAGTTTTACTTATCAGCGCCATCTTTTGGCTAGTGTTTGCATCAGTTAAGACCACTTAATATTTATTTATTTGCTTTAAGGGAAGAAATTTTTACACTTTTGAGAAACACATTCCTCTTCATTTATTTCCTTAATAATTAAGTTTTAATTTATTTCACTGCTTTTCTCTTCTTTCTTTCTTTCTTTTTTTTTTTTTTTTTTTTTTTTTTTTTTTTTTTTTTTTTTCTTGGGTGTAGTAACCAAAAACAACATAAATTTTTATATACTAAAGATGATACTAGCGATAAGGATACAGCTTATAAAAGTTGAACATTTAAATAGTAATCACAACTTTTATCCGATCAGATAATGATTTTCTATGCCGCTTGATCGATATAGTGGTTAGAATTCTTGTATACTGTATCGGTCGTTGGGTTCAGGTTCAAATCCTGGAGAAGGTTTTGGATGTTTGTAAATATATAGTGTCTGTGTGGCATGGGGCACTCAAAATACACGGCGCGCCGACAGTCTTCTCGAGTGGCTTGGAGGTAGAAAAAGAAGGATCGGAGACCCTCAGACCTGTACTCCTGAGGCGTACATTAAATTTAAGGCGGAGATGGGCAATGTTGTACTGTCACCTATAAGGTTGTCAAAGCCCATTTTAACGACAGACGCAATTTGCGCTTCTTGCCACGATAAAATTCGTGCACTTGGTCTCATTAGGTAAGAGAAGTGAGATAAGTTACAACAATATCAGTTTCTGGATAAACAAAATTATGAACAACCGACCGAAGACCAAAGTAACTGTTAAATTGTTGTATATTTAGGTTTTGGACAGATCGTCTGAACTTTCGGCTTTGACCGGAATACATATGTAAAAAAGAAAGAGAAGCAAGTAACGGAATGTGTACATAATTTAAAAATGCGCGAGTATGAAATAAAATAATATTTGAGTAAAAGTTCGTATTTATCTATATTTAGTAACTGTAATCACCTTTGTATAATTTTATATTAATTTGTCTCCATTTAAAAATTTCTCATATTACTAAAGTACCTTTCTCTGAGCAGACGGGCGTTTGTTTCGTATTCATCAACGCCTCCGAGTGAATTCCTTTTTCGTAAAAAGATCTTCATACCTTCACTTTCTAATTTTCTAGTGAGCTCGATGGCAAAAGTGACATCTTCTGGTGCATCAGAATGTAGCATAAATGCATGATACAAGGTAGGCTCTAAAAGTAAATGAAATTCAAAATTAGTGAAACAAATTATGTTTTATTAAAAATTCTGTGAAAGTGAAAATAAATTTTGCGATTATGTATTTTAATATTTTTTACATACATTCAGTGGCAAAAATAAGCCCTCTCGCCTAAAAAAAGTAATGGATCGTAATGAAACTGGTCAAGGACATGGGAAAATAGATATAGGTAGAAGTGAGAGATCAAACCAGGTGGTCAACAGCTGAAGTCTGTTGTTCACTCATTAACCATCCCCAAGTATTTGTTTAGAACCTGGATGGCCAACCCACGGCACGCGTGCCACAGTATGGCATGGTTTAGTTTTAATAATAGCAGACGAAAACTTATTGAAATATTAAAAAATGTGAAAAAATAATAATGTCTTCAGAAACTTTGTCAAAATCCATAAAAAGTCTACCTATACCCTACTGAAAATAACAATGCTGGAAATCTGCACTGCTTGACACCAGTACAACGATACGGTAAGACAGGGAGGTCATGGGACGAGCCCAATGGTTTCAGTTGTCTTGACATCGTTGCATCTTGACACGGTTGTCCGTTCTCGAGCAAGAGCGACTATTACACTCTAGCTGTCTGGCTCCGTTGATTTTAAACTAAGGTTACGTTCAGACGGCGACGTAAATGTCACAGAGGCATAGTCACAAGGAATAAAATTCCAGAATTCCGTTCACACCTGCGACACAGGGTCTAAGCCTCACCCACTTAGAGAAGCTAATTTTGCGCATGCATGGATGCATCTACAGTTTTCTCGCTCTCGTTTCCCATTCAGGTGTCGCGCGTTCGCTCTCATTGGTCGACGCTTGGCATAAAGTTGAAAACTACAAACTTTATGCCAAGAGCCATAAACCAGATTTTGTGACGTATCACAGACCGGTTGCCTGGCAACGAAGCTCGGCTTAAACCACTTATGCCCTCTATACTGTCGTCTGAATGCAGCTTAAAGAGCAAGACGTTAAGCCTTTTTTCTGAACTGTTTTTAGACGTTAGCCTGGTTATTTAAAAATCGTTATTTTAAAAATGCTTATTTAATTATCTTTATTTTAAAAAATTTGTTTCACTATGTTTATGAGTAAACTTCGACATCGAAAAGAAGATATTGCAATATTCAAAATTAAATCTGGACAGACATTTCCAACAACTGTATAATGATTTCAACAGAAAATATCCGTTCAAATAACACTTGTGAAAGATTTATCAATAAAAATAAAAGAAATCGTTAGCCCGCTAACAATCCTTGTTCCTGAAGAGAAATGGGCCCACCAGCGGCCGAGCGGTAAAGTCGCTGAACAGTGGTAGTTCGGTCCGAGGTTCGAATCCCGCGAACGGGCTGGCTGCATGGGTGTTTTCGTGGTTTTTCCCATGTGTAACGTGTATGCGAGCCAGTTTCTCTTAAAAAATCCTCCACGAAGGCATCCCTCCCCTTAGGCAGATAGCTTTAGTGAGCTTTGCCATAACTAAATACGCAAATACACACCTGGAGAGAAATGACAAAATGGAAACTATGGTGAAGGCTTCTTACGAATTTTCTTTGTTATGCGTGCAAAAGAAAGAACCCTATTCTGCCATAGAGGAGCTAATGTAAAATAGCGTTTTAATATTTGCCCAAAACTTCGGTGATATAAACGTCAAAAATATGGCTGATTTAAAATAGTTTTGTCTAGAAATACCGTTACGCACTGTATAGATGACATGGGTCAGAATGTTGGCATACAGATTCTTCCTGCACTACAATATTGCAAATATTTTTCATTAACGCTGGATGAAAGCTGTGATATCACAGCCAATGCTCACTAAGCATATTTGTGCATTACACGAACAATAATTTTGATATTTTGGAAGAACGTCTTTATTTGGGCCAACTAGTTTTAACTACAGGGGAGGACATTTTCAAAGAAATTAAAAATGTAATTGAAGTTAACAAAGTAGATTGGACAAAATTAGATATTGTTCGCACAGATGAATTTGCATGGTTGGCAGAATAAAAGGTTTTGTTACACGCTTTTGAAAATTATTTGGGAACGAAAGTTCTCATGCGTCATTGCATTCTCCATCAAGTTCTTTGTGCCAAGAACGTAGCCTGCCTTCTGTTGTTAACCCCACAGCGCGCTGTATCAACAAAATACGAAATCGAGCTTTGAAACGATGATGATTTCTTCAGTTTTTTTCCCGGAAGAAAAAGAAAAAGATAGCGGCTTACTCCTTTACTGTAGTGTACGTTAGATTTCCAAAGGAAGTCCACTCTCGGGATTTTGGAATTTGAGGGAATGCGTTTTAAAATATCTGGAAGAAAACAATGAACTGCTCAGTGAATGCTTGCTACTCAAGAATGAAGACTGACTATCGGATTTAGCTTTTTTTTATCGATATTAAATTTCAGTTAACTAATTTAAATTCATGATTTTACAAGGAAGATATTGTATTTTTTCTATCCTGGTTGGTGATATATCTTCTTCTGTAAACAAACGTTTGCTTGTTTTGTCTCGATTTTGGAGAAAAAAGATTAACACATTTCACATTAGGCAAAAGCTAACTATTAAAGTCAATAATGCTCCAAACTATGACAGATTTAAAAATTTAATATCCGTTTTGCAGGATTCATTCAGTGCTAGATTTGATGATTTTCAAGTTGATGAAAAATTGCTGATCTTTTAACTAATCCTTTTTCAGTTTCTCTGCAAAACGTTAATTGTTATCCACCTGAAATATAAACAGGAATTATTGTCCTACAACACCCTACAACACTGAAACTCAAATACGCGTAACTTATTTCAACTGCAAGTGTCCAAATTTTATTGAATTTTGAAAATTTGTACTAAGAAGCAATTTTCCGAATTTATACGATTTGACTGTCGGATATTGTTGTAGGTTTGGATCAACGTATGAACAAATGTGTTGTGGGCAACTGCTTTCTATTATGGATATAATAAAATAAAAATAGAGTTCAAGGTTAACGGACGCACCTAAAGTACCTATTTTTGTTAGAATCTTCAGGTATTAATCCTAATATAGATAACTTGTTAAAAAAAAAAAACTAAAAATTCAAAAGCCACATTAATTAAGTACTGACGGTTTAATAATAATTCAATATTTAATGTTTCAAGTTGTTCATTTTTATTTTATACGTAACCTAACTGACTGAACGTTTAAAAATGTTTATCAACAATAAAACCTAAGTTTGTACAATTTTTATTCATTATATTACTTTTTAAATTTCCACTATTAAGACTTACATGACAAAAGTGTGCTATTTGCATAAAAATCCCATAATCAGCCTATAAATAACATTTTTTCACCTTTTTATATTTTTAGTATGTTGGAAAAGTTGAAAGTGACAAGCTTAATTTTTTTTCAGATTGTGGCAATTATCCCAAAAAGGTTGGCTACCCCTGGTTTAGAAGAAGGATCACATTTTGTTTTAAACTCGGTCTAGTGTCTCCTAGTCTTTGGTAACATAAACTAACAATATCTATAAGACTGAGTGAGAAATTATCTTCGGGTTTTAAGTACGGCAGAGTCCAAAGAAGGGTGTAAAGAACCCTTTATTAACTCAATATAAGAACGCAGACGGCCTCACTAGAACGTACATAAAAGCCAAAACTTCTGGCTCAACTCAAACAGGTAATGATGAACTTAAAGTTAAATATAGTAAGTTTAGCCTAACGACTCACAAGACAATTTAACCCGCAGGAAGGCTCTCACTCGTAAAAGTCGGCTTAAGCAAGCTTAATGGCTATAGAAGCACTGAACATCGGAGAAATCTCATTACTAGTAATTCAAGGTAGCAACATGTCCTTCAAGCAGGCATAACATGCACTAAAATCAACTTCAAATCCTTCCCTTAAATACTACTAATTTCTGCCTCATTTGAATACACGCGGGCTAGCTTATTAACATTCTGACAAAGAGAGCGTGGTTTGGAAACTAGAATCAAAGGAACGTTGCTTTAAAACAAAAATTAACTGTTAGATATATTAAATGAATCCTCACAAGATATATAAATCACGTGTACAAAACCTATGACGTTGTTATGAACGATTTTGGAGAGATATGCAGTTAATAAAATAAAATAATAATAATAAAAAAGATTAACTTTTAAAAGTCATATGGAACTATTCGAAACAATTTGTTATCCTAAAGAGATTTAAAGTTTGCTTTATAAACCTAGTTCTAAGTTAAAATTTGCTATTTATATATTTATTAGTCACGGACTAACAAAGTGTTCAGCTATCTTTCTTTTGATAAAAACGGGAAAATGTATTGGAACAGGTATGGTATTACAAGAACGAGAAATTAAATTTCAGATATTCAAAATACTTTTGAAAATAAAGTCATTAAACAGTCATCAGTCATTGATTTAAAGAATTATCTGATACATAGTCATTAAATTGCTAATAATAACACTATAAAATTTCTTGAATAGGTGACTGTTTATGCCACTTCGCAAAGTCCTCTGCCGAGAATTTTTAATTTTTGTGCAATCTTACTTATTCTTTAACAAGTGCGGGAGCTTTATATAATTTCTTAGTGTTAATTTCGTTATTCGGATTATTTTTTAGATAGAATTCACTTATTAGTGGACATACTGATCACTGCCCTGTGAGTCTTTTTCTTATTTTTGACAATACATTGTGGGATTTTTCTTTCGGTACTTGCAATGTCTTATTCTTCTCTCCTGTTTCACAGAAATTTCTTTTAGCTAAGATTTAAAGAAAGAGCGCGACTAAGGGATTTCCAGATGCTTCCTACTTTGATGAGGATAGTATCTTTAGCTAATTTCGTGTATACGAGCCAGTTTCCCTTAGAAAGTCCTCCCCGAAGCCATGCCTCCCTTAAGGCAGATAGCCCTTGAGTGCTTTGCCGTAATCTAATAAAACCAAACCAAACCAAACTTTAGCTAATTTGTTGGCATTTCCATGTTTGCTGATTTTGTTCAATTGTTGTACAGGGAGTGACTTGGATTTTATAAGTGAGAAAGAAGACCATTTCCTCTATTGCTAGTTTAACATGAGGGAGATAGGACAGGAAGAAACAAAAATTTTGTCAATGTCGTCATAGAATTTTGTACAAGTGATTTATATATCTTGTAAGGATTCATTTAATATATCTAAATCTCCAAACTGCTATTTCAATATTAAATGTATGCCGCGAACAGACACCTTTTATGTGATATATTAGAACAACTGCTGTAAGTTTGTTTGCAGTTAAATAGTTCCGATATCAAATATCAAGAATACATCTATACCTGAGAATCTTTTGGATTAAATCTTATATTTTAAGAGAATAATTATCTGGCAGAGGCATATCTATCACCAATATCTGTGTCTGCGGCAATGAAGGGTTGCCCGATCATTATCTTGTGGAATGCCCTTTAACACAGAAATGGCACATTAGTTTCGGTGCTTCTGAGGTCCTTTCTAATAAAGCAACCAACATTTACAATGAAAATAAAATGTATAATGGATAAACTCGAAGCGGTTGGACAAGAGTTGTGTCAAGCAGAATAATGTCTAAGAAGCTCCAAGTAGTGAGCTAAGTTATGTGTAGCTAAATATTCGCTTAGTCAGTCTATATTTACATGCCTGGTAACGCTCCATATATACTGCTTGACGTCCTGTTTTTTGTCTTTTTGTGCTAATTCACAAAATGTCATGTTTTTGTATGCAATGTTGTGTAGGCCATGTAAAGTTGTTAATACTGTACATCAGTACGTTATGATTTGAAATGAATTCGTAGTGTACGTCATGCAGAGAATGCCATATGGCAAAGTGTTTAATAATAATATGCAAATTTGTGTAGGTTATGTAACGCTGTATATTTTTGCTGTTGTAAATACGTTATGTCATGATGTTAAGTTGCCAAGCTATGTCCATGTGCTATGCTATGTCATGTGGCTATGCTATGCAAAGTTATGCATATACTGTGCTATGTTATATCGCTATGCTATGACTATATGCTATGCTATGTTCAATCGCTTTTGTCTACGCTATGCTATGCTTACCTGCTGTTCAAGTTATGTTATGCTGTTTATTTATTTATTTTTTCTTGTTTGTTATAAAAATGTTTTGTCAATATATATGCCTTCATGCTATGTTCATATGCATGAATATTTTGCTGTATATAATATGATATATATAATATGACGCTATGCTATGCTTACCTGCTGTTCAAGTTATGTTATGCTGTTTATTTATTTATTTTTTCTTGTTTGTTATAAAAATGTTTTGTCAATATATATGCCTTCATGCTATGTTCATATGCAAGGCTATGTTCTGTATGGCATGTAGGTTATATGACGCTATGTATTTTATGTTGTAAATCTGTGATGTCAATATGTTATGTCGCAATACTATGTATATTATGTCTATTAGATGCTATGGTATGTCGCTACGCTATGTCCACCTTTCATGTAGTTAAGTTACGTAGCATATTTAATGTTGCAAATATGTAATCCTTATGCTATGCTATGTCATATCATGTTGCAAATTATGTGTCATGTTATGTCTACGCTACGCTATGATATGTCACCATGCAATGTCCACCTGTCGTATAGGTCATGACACACTGCGAATTGTATGTTGTAAATATGTAACCTCAATATGTTATGTCGCTCTGCTATGTCCATATGCCATGCTATGCTATGTTGCAATACTATGCTATGTCTTATCTATGCATAACTATGTTATGTCGCTATACTATGGCCACCTGTCGTGTAAGTTACATTACGTTGTGTATTTAATGTTGTAAATATGTTGTGTCGCTATGCAATGACTATAATCTATACTATGTCACGTATCGAAATGCAATGCCATGTCATGTCTATGCTGAGTTATGTTATGTCGCCATGCAATGTCTACCTGTCGTGTAGGTAACGCAACGCTAGGTATTTTATGTTGTCAACATTTTATGCTCTAGATGGAGCGGGTCCCGGACTATATCCGATTAGTCTTTAAAAGCCGTCAGGGTATCCGGCCCTGCTGTCACCTGTCGTTGGCAAGGTGAAATATAGGTGAAAGTACGAATAGGTGAAATAGGTGAAAGTACGAATTTGCCCAATTCGATTATAGTTTTGAGAGAGAGAACCTCGGTTGCCTTCCAAGGGTCTCCCACCTTCTTCACCTACCAGCAAACCACACGAGAGGACTCTCTAACTCGCCATAAAGTGTGCATCCATGCCTCGAAGACGCTATACATTTATAACGTACACGCTTTCTCCGGAATTCGAACCTGTCCCTTCGTTACGTTATAGTAAAAGAACAGGCATGACAGACTCTCAGATAATTTCTCTTATGTTCTCCATCAAAATTGGAATGGAGCTTTAAGGCGGTTGGGACTATACCTATAAAACCATTGGCAAAATTTTTGTTTCTTCCTGTCCTATCTCCCTCATGTTGAACTAGCAATAGAAGAAATGGTCTTCTTTCTCACTTATAAAATTTAAGTCACTCCCTGTACAACAGTTGAAAAAAATCAGCAAACGTGGAAATGCCAACAAATTAGCTAAAGTTTGGTTTGGTTTGGTTTTATTAGATTACGGCAAAGCACTCGAGGGCTATCTGCCTTAAAGGAGAGATGCCTTCGTGGAGGACTTTCTAAGGGAAACTGGCTCGTATACACGAAATTAGCAAAAGATACTATCCTCATCAATGTAGGAAGCATCTGGAAATCCCTTAGTCGCGCTCTTTCTTTAAATCTTAGCTAAAAAAATTTCTGTGAAACAGGAGAGTAGAATAAGACATTGCAAGTACCGAAAGAAAAATCCCACAATGTATTGTCAAAAATAAGAAAAAGACTCACAGGGCAGTGATCAGTATGTCCACTAATAAGTGAATTCTATCTAAAAAATAATCTGAATAACGAAATTAACACTAAGAAAATATATAAAGCTCCCGCACTTGTTAAAAAATAAGTAAGATTGAACAAAAATTAAGCATTCTCGGCAGAGGACTTTGTGAAGTGGCATAAACAGTCACCTATTCAAGAAATTTTATAGTGTTATTACTAGCAATTTTCGCATTCTTGCCAGCCATATTTACAGTCTCACATACATATGTAAACACATTAAATTCTGGTAATTATAATATACTAACTATAAAAGGGAAAAACAAAAAATAAATCTTACCTCCTGATAAGAAATCATCTACTGTCAGATAAGGAGAGCTGTTCAATGAGTCTCCAGATGTGACTAAAAAATATAAATAGAAATTGTGTCGGAAGTTTCATATTATTTAAAGTATTCAAATAACCTCTCATACCGAACAAATGGTTGTATGCTGCTAAAACTTGGCTTTACTCTGAACACATACCAAAATGAATGGATTTAGTTAGCATTATAAATATCACATTCTTCCGTATAGTTCATGAATAAGTATAAATACTATATAACATTATGCGTTACTTATCTTTCAAAATAAAAGTGATTTTTTTAAACGTTCCTAAAAATTTAAAATAATGTAATGAATCCTCTCAACATGTTTTTTTGAAAGAAAGTTGAAAGAAAAGAAAACATGAAAGAAAGTTTCTGTTCTAAACTAAACTACCAAATTGTGCTGATTCGAAGCAAATCGTAGTTCTGTACTATTGTTCAAAATTAACAGAATTTTCACACTTTAATCGATTATCTTCAAAACTAATAGACATATTAGAAATGAAATTTGGTTCGGATAGTAAGTATATTCGTGCAATACAAAACAATGTACCATACAACAGTTGTGGTACGCATGCATGATCATGCGTAAGGCTGATCAGCGCAAGAAGATCAAAAAAAAAAAATCGAGAGGCAGTTTATGAATATCTATAACAGTCGATCTCACTTCTGAAGCAACGTGTTTTTCAGATTAAGGAATTTTCAGCAGCAGGTCTTCCTGCACAAAGACGTGTCCCTTTCTGGAAGAAATAACCTGTGAAACTCAGCTTCTTGGGCCTACATAAAGGTCAGGAGCAAACTAAATGCTTTGACACTCCTCTTTCGCCTTGCTGAAATAGATAAATATTGTTCTTCATCTGTGGCTGGCCTTTGCTCAGGCTTTCTCTATATCGATTTAGCATCCGTAAACTGCCTTCATAAGTTACCCAGGCCAGGATGTTGGGGATTATATTCAAGTTGTAAGGAATTTTTTCCCTCCCCACCGCTTGCCTTCGTGGCATACTTGGAAGTGCTTTCAGCTAGCCTGGAAGGTCTGAAGTCTGAATTTCGATAAGGGCTGGGCATTTCATCCTGCTTCCTGCTCCAGAAAAATTCCATTAATCTTTATATTTGCGCCCAACTAAAATATGATGGAGGATAATTCGTCACCCCGAGATTTGGGGGACAGGTCCCCTCCTCTGCAGTCGCTTTTTGAATGAAAGAAAACGTAGAGACTTTTCTCGCTCCTCACTGTGCTTATATGTGCTATAATTGGAAGCAAATCCAACTTCAGAAGGTTCGGATCTCGAGTCCCAGCGAGTGCATTGTTGATGTTTCATGTTTCTTGCTCAGATAAAAGCCTAATGGTGCCTAGAAATTTGCAGTTTAGACTACACTGCTTCCTATGTCCCTATGATTCTTTACCTCATTCCATAATTTAAATGTTGCTGGTTATTCATTTGAGCTGCCTGCTTTTGAATTTCATCAAATAGTGAACCCCTTCCCCTAAAAGTAGCCGAGAAGTGAGAGCGAATGAAGCCCAAAAGTTTGCTTTTAATAACTGTTTTCCAAAACATTTCACCCACGCGCATGTGTATTCCAATCTAAAGATTTGCCTTTTTTATTTAGAAGCATAATTTTTACCCTTCGTAATCGCCAAAATATGCATATTCTGTTAGGTTTTGACACCAGTGTAATTATGTAAAATACAGTTGTAGTGGAAGTAATCTGTTGATGCAGTTTCAAACCGGAGTGGATGAATATTAAAGTACTTTATCCTTTAATTTTATTATCACAGAGACAGTTCTTGGTGTTTGGAACTCGTATTCGTCTCGGACATCAAGTATGGTATTACATTTCTCATAACAGGAATATTTTTTACTTAAAATTAGGTATCGTGTCCATAAAAAAGCTTAAATAAAAAATTTAATTATTCAACAGACTTTTAGCATTAAAAAGTAACATTGATGTAAGATACAATATAAAATCATGGGCTCGAATAGAAAATGTTTGATAATTAGAAAATGTGCATTTCAATCAACGCCTACTGACACTTTAAGTAATTTCTAATTCATCATTATATTAATATGAATATGAATTAAGATTATTATTATTATGCTTATGACTGCTACCATATTGTTATTTCAATGCACAATATTTACATAGCCAACTCAGAACAGCAAACTTTCGTTTTCGTGATAGCCACACAAATCTATTATATGCTGTCGTTGCAGTCCAACGTCCATGATCTTGCGTTTTAATCGTAAGGCATGGATGTTTGTAACAGTTTTATATGTGATACTGATACTTAAAATCTATATTCTAAAACTTCTATCATGAGATTTATGGGAAAAGGCGAAAGGCAGATACTGAACAGTGTTTTCTTTGAACCTCTGGTCAGATACTGACATTGTATTCAGTACCTTCAGATGCTGATCAGTGTAATGATCTATTTTCATTTGCACTTTCCCTATGACCTATTTTCATTTGTACTCTTCACTTTTGATATTTATTTCCAACAGCCCTTTATAATCAGTAAAAAGTTATGTTGAAGAACTCAATGGTCCTAAACCTTACATTATCAGGACTTGTGTTCCTCTTTACTTGCTTTGGAAACATGAACTGTCCTGACTCGGAACAGGGAGCTTACTAAAGCTATATTCAATAAATTGTGAAGTAGACAATACACACAGGAAGGGTATACGAAACCCTTTATTTTTCTATCTTTACAGCGATTTCCGGAACTTCAGAATACAGAGACCAACCATTTGTGGTCTGAACGTAAGAATATAAAAATACTAACTAAAAACTCTAACTAAAAACTAACTTTGGATTAATATACAAGTGCCTAACTTCAAGATTGGCCGTTATTTAACAAAAATCTGTATGTAGTACAGAGAGCTGCTAAAACTACGATACGTTTAAAATTATCAAGAGGATTAAACCTCTGGCCTTGAAGGCAACCAGCAAACGAGTAAAACTACTATGGCCAGCGGCCTGCTTCTAATAACTCCTTCCTCTCTTTTTGCTTGGCAAAAAGCCACAACTTAAGTACTTGGCGTTAGCAAGACAAATTTGCATAAATAAGTTAAAGCTTTTAATTCTGGCCGGAAGTAGAAAATAAGAAGTGATAGTAAAGATTTAAAATAAAATAAACGTTAGTAAAACTTAGGATCCTTACAACATGATAAGCGGAATATAAAGCCTTAATGTCGAAGGCATAATTTAAGGAAATATTTATTAAATAATGCACGATCTTGTACACAAGGATTTCACCTAAAATCTGCATAATTATAGAATAATTATAGCATACTTTAGAAGGAATATGGGAAGTGTCAATGCGCACATCTCGGAAGCAAACAGGGAAAACGAAGATAAACTTCTGGATAGCATACATAATATTTAATTGCATCCGTTTGTAACAATCCCCGATAGTGTGACTGATAATGCACAGTGATGCAGATAAGAAGATTTCAGCTCAAATATAATTTAGAGTAGCGCCGCGTTTTATCTGTATTACGGACTTTTTTTTTTCGGGGGGGGGGGGGGACATGGTTAAAACAGGTGAGTCTAAGATTGCGCTTTTCCTTTATGAGTGTGACGAGGTTTCTATTCGCAATAGTCTTTATAGACATTCCCATCATTCAGTTACAACAGCTAGTACAAACTTCTTAAAAATTCATACATTTCGCAAAGAGTCTCGAGAATCACAATTTAGATATAAACTGAATTGTTAGAGTCTTTGTATCACAGAATTAACATCGTTTTCTTCCCCCCCCCGTTTTCGAATTATGTTGTTTCGGAGCAATAATAATTAATCTTAAGTAATTAATCTTAAGAGTTCCAAGAATTTGACTCTATATCACAAATGGAACAATTTATTACAAATATGAGGATATAAACTTGATAAAAGTTTGGTATCTCAAGTTTATATCCTCATATTTTTAATAATAACTGAATTTTCGTTAAATATATCGAAGTTTCATAAGCTAGCAACTATTATTGACTATTTTTATACAGCAAAATCAACCTTTGAGCCATCTGGCTTTGTAGTTAGTTCTAATTCAGTGACTAAAGTTACCTAAGCGCAACCCCTTTTGATAAAAAAATTTGTTCGCGAACTTCCATTTTCTCCAACTTATCATCTCTACATATAAAAAAAGAAAGATGACTCAAGCGAACGCCTGGGAAGTACTGGTTAGGATCTGTACTTAGGCAGTCTCAACCACGGGGGCATAAAAACAGACTTCACACAAGACCTGAGGGCTCTCAGGACAGAGTAAAGCTCGGCAGGGACGTACTGGTGCTGTCTTGTCTGCCCTTGCTCTGTGGGGTCGCCACATTGCAGATTGCGTGAGGCAGATTGAATTTTGTGTGAGTTTAGCATCTCAAATTTATTATTACGTACAACATTATGGATGATTAAAACGATAGATTTTACTGTTTTCTGCGTCTTCAAAAATTCATGAAGATCTTCCTTAGTAGAAAGGGGCAATCCTAAACTAAAATCTTTTTATGTGTGGTTAACATGTGGTGTATCTAGAAGCCGCATTTTTTTACAACTAGACATAATCTCATACACCTGAAAGATATGATAAATTGATGCCTTTTCGGTTTAAAATGTATGAGCTTATTACAAATCTATCATTATTTGGAAAATATTTAAATCTTTCCATTCGAAAAGAAGGAAAGAAACTGGCAGTTGCTATTTTACTTGAACTTTTTCAATGAGAATGTCTGATCCAGATTTCCTAATGCATAAATTGCAACAATTGTGAGATGAAGTGTACGAAATTCTCAACACTGAGTTTGTTAAATGGGTTTAAAGCGAAGTAAACAAACAATTCGTCAGAAATTAAGTTCGTAATTTCTGTATTATTCATTATTTTATGATAAAGATATACATATAACAGCAAACATTAAAAATAAACCCTTTTTACCTTCTGGATCTTGAATAAGATGCTGCCCATTCCTCTGCATAAGTATCCGTCTCTGATATGCTGCGGCATCTTCTTCTGTAAATAAAGAATTTTATTTGATTTATATACTTAAAATTATACCTTCCTTTTGAGAAATGCATTGGAAAGAAAGTACTCAAGAAAGTCAGTTGATCTCATCTCCTTTCTAATATACCATTTAATTTCGCTTTTGATTCAGTCATACCATTAGAAGTTAAAGCTCTCAAAAGTAGAACAAAAAAGAATTGATAAGCCTTTTGGACTTTAATGTTTATTTATATAGTGCTCTATAAGTTTGTGTAGATAAAATATTTAATATTCACTTTACAGCAACTGCATATACAACACTACACGCTCGATAACGGGATAAGAGAGTGGATTGAGTCAAACAAATGTCATCGAACTGCAGAATATTACCAGTAGACGATCAACAAAACTTTCTAATGCAAATTATTTTCGCAATAATGTAATATAACGAAGATAAACTTTAGCGTTTAAAATTTATACTAAGAATCTGAAATTTTGTGCCCTACTTTTGATTACAAGCTTTATTTTTAAGTAAGAGAGCAGCGTTTCTTAATGTTTTTGATAAGTGGAACTGTAATGTCGAATTTTATGGCTGAACCTTAGTTTTTTTCGGTAGCTTGGTTTTAATGCAGCATTCCGTAAATGGATGCAACATTCAAAAAAATAACAATTATTTCAAATAACATTTATTTAATTTTAAAAGTAATTTCAAAATTAACTCAAAAGTTCTTAATATAACTTAACGTCCTCAAACAGGAAATTTAAATTTTAATCAGATAAGGTGTTCTGCTTTATATTATTTCAGATGTACTTAACATTATGTTTCATGAATGAAAGTACATTTTCATGTCAGGTTCGGCATCAAGTCTGTTGCTGTATTTAGGTTTTCTCGACACATAAGAAAAGAACTCTGTTTCGCACATACACGTAGTTGTCAATGTTAAAATCGCCTACATGGCCTTTTATGACATTTGAGGATATTTAGCTTTTAAACTGCATCAGAAATCGTCTAACGGCATTAATTTAAATTTTTCGTATTCTGTTACTAATATGGTATAAGGTTGTGAATTGGCAACAAATGGATTTTAATCCACAGATCATTCTAATATTTAACCCGCTATTCATTTGGAAAATACTGATTAAAAGCGTCATTCTGTCTCTCAGATGCTTAATAATTTCTTCAATAAATGTTTCCTGTAATTCAATGTTTGCACGTAAGGAAAAACAGAAATGCTCTTCTTAAACATTGAAAGGAGATCATTCATGATAGGCGAACTCCATTAATCCTTAAGGACGCTGCGAGTGTACAGAAAGTATATAAGCGATACAAAACCGATCGAATAACTCAGTCTTCAGGCAATAACCAATTTGATTGCAAACTTCACAGCCAAGCACCAGTATAGCTTAGACAGAATATATATGCAGCATGCTAAAAGGAAATCATCTTCTTTTGGAAACAGTATTTTTACATAACTTATTAAGAAAAGTCAGCAAGCGTGCATGTTACTCATATAACCCATATCACGCTTATAATATTTCTCATCACATTCTTTTGAATATTTTCTTGAGCATGTGTATCAATGTCACTTCTATTTTTCATTTATTCTATCAGCATTACTGAGGAATTATTATGCATTGCAATTCTCCTAATAAAGATAAGAATGTCTTTTCGCTAACAGTTATTAAACTTTTAAGATTTTAACCAATGTTCTGGGGCGTATGATTGTTGAACTTTCTTAAAATGTAAGAATATGTAGTTAGCTTTGTTAAATTAAAAAAAAAAATTGGGGGGAGGGGCAAAATTGTAAAGTATTTTCTTCCTTCTTGCAGAGTGCCTTCGTGGTGTAATTGGAAGAGCATCCGGCTGGCAGTCGGGAACTCCACAGTTGGAATCCGGGTTTGCTGATTTTTAATGTTTCCTGCTCCGAAACAAACTTATAGCTGTGTGAAATTAAACTGTTTTTCGGATGTTCTGATGCTTTGTAAAAATACAGTAGGAAATTTATATACAGTGTAGGGATTTATATTTGTTTTAACTACTAATTTAAAGTTTTATTTTAAACTTTCCTAAAAGCCTTCATTTCCCTAATTGTCAGTGCCAGAATAGGTAAATGTTGTAGCGCCCGTGAACGATTGCAAATTTTCTACTTGGAAGGAAGTAGTTAAGAGCCGAGTTTCGGTAGGAGAGAGAGTTAGGCTCTAGCCGCCGTCTCTGCCGTAGGTAGGATTGCTTATTGTTGGTTCAAGTAGCTCAATTGCATTTATCTGCTACCACTAGCTTCGAAGGGGGTTTAAGTTATGGGACTTCGCTGAGACCTGTGATAATGCACAGTGATGCAGATAAGAAGATTTCAGCTGAAATATAATTTAGAGTAGCGCCGCGTTTTATCTGTATTACCGACTTTTTTTTTGGGGGGGGGAACATCGATCTATCGTTTGTTAATAGGTCTATCGTTTATTATAGGTCTGTCGTTTGTTAATATCTTCAAATTTTAGTTTAATTACGTGATTTTCAGTTACCGCCAAGCAGAGGCGAAGTTTGTTAGCGTTGAGTTGACGCATTGTAAATTTTAAAAAGATTTAATAAAGGGTATTTTAACCCTTTTCTTGTGTAGTTTCCTGATACTCCAGTTTCAAATGGAAGTTCACCCACCTGTACTCTACAACAGAATTAGGAAAAACTGAGCACAGTTTTTTAAAATGCCAATTAACAATTTCATAGTAACATGAGCTATAATGATATCAAAATGGAATTTACCAGTTTTGTACATAACAGTTTAAAATCTTCGTGCAAATATCTCTAGCATATCAGGGAACATTTGCTATGATGCTTAGAGTCTCTGAAATTTTACTCAAAGATTGTTTGGTACTATTCGATTTTGAGGGCCGTAAAAAATCGCCAAACTATTGTTGATGCCAGTGCTGCCAAAATAATCGCGGCAACCCTAACGCAAGAAAGGAAGTATAATAGTAAATAACTATTTAAGATTGATATTTTAATTTAGATGAAAGGTTAATATCATATAATACTTTTTATTATTATAATTTATATAAAAAGGCTAAACATGACTGAATGGAAGCATAAGAGTAAATAACTATTTTAGATCATTATTATAATTTATATAAAAATTCCTATTCGTAACTGAATGGATGCCTGCATCGCTATTTCTGTACTGAGTTATCGCTAAGGCATAGTTTCATCTCGTTGGTTGTTCAAACATACTTTTCTATAATGAATGATGCCTTTTCTTTGAAAAAATTCCCGGTAAAATGCAGAATCGCCCACTTATTTGCTTGCCGCTTTTTACAAGAGTAAAAACAATTGGATTTTTGTCAATTTTTTTTTTTTTTTTTTTTTAACTTTTTAAGTGAAAATAGGTCGATAAAAAAGAATTTAAGATCAAAAAAGGATTTAAAAATTAAACTAATATTTCAATGGCGTCTTAAGAAATATAGAACTATATAAAATTACGCAATTTGAAATCAGCGCGTACGCTAAATTTGGCGCTTTTGCGGATACATTTTCCCTGCAATTTTTTTACGGTCTTCAAAACGGAATAGTACCGAAGCTAAATACCCGGAAGTGATTAAAACTACATTATTTTTTCAAATCTAAAATTACTTTTACACGATATGTACTGGAAATATTAATAGTTCGTTTATAAATTGAGAATCTAGTTTAATTTAAGTCTTTAATTTATGCAGGAAATGACAAAAATTAAATAATCGGCTGACCGATAAATTTCAGACTAATATATAGTTTGATTATATTTAGAGTTATTAGGAATATCATCTTAGAGTTGTCAACAAGAATTAGAATTCTAAGTTAGATAAGACGTCAGCAATGTTTTATTAATATCCTAGATTTTGTATTTTGTGTGCCGTATGTGCATTTGATGTTCGTTCTGGTCCATTAAAATGTCCACATGGACACTAAATTAGTTGAGTTTTAAGACGTAGAAACATATATATATATTTAGGTTTATCTTATAATTCTAATGCGTTTCCAAATTCTAGTGGAACATTTTGCAAAATAAATATTTTACTCACCCAATAAAGGTACAACTTCTGCTAAGAGATCATATCTTTGTAGCTCTTGAAGTAGTTCCATTAGTTTACCAAATGTGGTTCCTTGTCGTTTTCCCCAAGTTTCCAATAATTTCATTGTCGGTTCTTCGTATATACCGAAATTTTGAATTTCAATGTATGGAAACTGCATGAGCTCAGCAAGCCCTCTGTAATCTCCTGGTACCTTTTCATGGCTTAAAAGTTCTCTTTGGTGATTCAAAAAAAGAGCTATTTTCATTCGAGTGCTGAGACTAAGCGCTGTGGCAGGGGTTCGATTAAAAGCACCCTCTTCCATTTTTCACAATTATGTCTCAAATTTTCTCTGTTGGAGATAAACATTTTAGAATTATTCTAAAAAGAAAGTAAATAGCCTTTCGTGTAAATTAGAGAGACCTTTCATACCATAAAAATAGCAATCGAATCTTAATGCTATATATTTTAAAATTACTCTAAAATGAAAGTATATTTACTTTCATTTTAGAGCATTTCATTAGCATTTAATGTAAGTAATACAGACCTTTAATGCCAAAAATAGGAATCAAATTTTAATGCACCATTGGGTTTATAGCGTAATTTACTTCTTCAGAAGAAATGTTGGAAGAAATGATATGTTACAGCATTTAGGAAAGATACGTTTAAAGATGTTAAAATAAGTTTCAGATAGAACATCATAATAATACATTGGGAGCGATGCTCTGTTAGTTTGTTCGTTTCTATAAAAAAAGCTGATTACTGATCTGTAGGAAAAACAAAAATTGTAAAATAGATTAAGTTTTAAGCTAAATTAAAAATTAATTTTTTTTTTTTTTTTTTTTAATCTGAAGGCTTTCAGATTATATATTACGCCCAAAAGGGGTGTTTTTTAAGGTTTTGTGTGCTACCTTATAAGGTATTTCTCCCGCTATTTGATCATGCCTTCGTCGTGTATTGGTCAAGAGGTCCGAGTGGTTCGAGTCTCGGCGAGGTCATTGCCCATTTTTCATCTATCCTTCTTTAAAAATAATAATAATAATAATAATATCTCTACAGTGACGCCCGAACTAAAAAGGTGGTTAAACATGATTCTTCACCAGCAGGAATTCTCGATTGGGTCTCCTAAAACCTCAGTCGCCCTTTAAAAGGGGAAGTATATAAGGTATTTCTCCCACCTTCTGAGCATGCCTTCCTGGTGTAGTGGTCAGCACGCTCGACGCGAATTCGAGAGGTCCGTGGTTCGAGTCCCGGCTAGGGCATTGCTCATTTTTCACCTCTCCTGCTTCGAAACAACCTAATATCTCTACAACCTTTATTTATTAAATATCGTGTTCTTCGAACTTAAACTATAAAATTCAATTCTGCAGCAATATCACAAAATATATAAAAGAGCATGTCTTCATAATTTCCGATACACAGTCTCACGTGCTGGAGATAAAAAAAAAAAAATTCTTTTCCGTACAGTATTGCCACTGTTCGCTTTGAAATCGTTGAGTTTCTTGATCAAAAACTCATAAATGCCTTATATAATACCAAATAGATAATAAAACAAATTCCAAGTTTGGGCTTCCAGATGCCTATATTCGGGTGGAGACGTACGTTATTCAAAATTTGATGGCTCTAGGTACCTTTGTTTTATCACAATGCGAGAGCATACATACATTTATGCAGATTTTTCGTTATTTAATTTTCTTTAAATATAATACAGGGCTCTAATATTTGGTGGCAAAAGTTTAAAAAGTGATTCGCCGTTTATAGTGAATTAACATAAAATGTCAAAACGAAATTAATAGCCCTTCTGAGCAAATTGCCTCTTTGGGTTAAAAAAAGTTCTACGAAACCTATCATTTCTTACCGCAGATAGTTGGGTTTTCCTTGTATGCATTTCCTCAGCCACCAACATTATTTTTAAAAAATCGCTATTATGATGCAGGAGTATGCAGTGTGTAACTGTATCACATTCGTACAGAACTCTGTATATGCTTTCCACCATGATTATAAAAGCCATGATATAAACAGATGCATCTGTATATGAAACCTTTTAGTGATGCATATAATCAAAGTTTCACTCTGATGAACGGACAATTTTCATCATCATAAGGTTAAATTTTGACAGTAGGAGAATACCTGGAATTCAAGGAATAACGTATCTCGATCCTGTAGCATGGTTGCTAGGAGTAAATTTGTCGACTATAGATGAGATGCTCTTGGCCGCCAGTTTGCCACTTTAATCATGGACCATTGTTCACAATATGTTTTCAAGAATAGAAATCCTTATCCCAGTTATCAGTATGTGCAATCCCTGTACTGATGTATAGATTATAGAAGCAATTCGTGAAATTTTAAACGTTTCTTTTATTAAGATCAATAACATTCATTACTAAGACGCTGACTTTTCGAGAGAAAGAAAGCCCACATTGACAAACAAAAAGGTGGTTAAAAATGAACAATTCAGTGGAGATATGGTGGATATAAAACGTCATATATAACATGCAGTAACAAAACATTTTTATAACTTGCATTCCATTTTAAAAAAATTAAAAATTTATAAATAAGTACGAAATAAAATTTTACACTACCTCTCATTTAATGGTGATAATGATATGAGTTAAATTTAATTATATTTCGAAATTTCAATAAAAGTATTAAGGTTATTTTGTTTAGAAAAAAGCATATATTAGATTGGCGTGATTGGAATTCTGACAGGCATATATTATCTTCAAGTCTAATTAGATGAAATCAACAGTTATTTGGTTTATCAGCCTTAGTGCTAATAGAATTTTGCTATCGCTCTGCTGACGATCTGCTGCCGCTCTGTCAAAGAATATGCTCTGTCGAAGAAAAGAAGTTTTCTGTAGCGATTAGCGATTTTTATTTTCGCTGTCTTCTATCGGAAGCAGAACTGTAGCAGGTGATTGAATATTAGATTAGAATCTTCCAGAAAAACTTTACGTTCGTGATTTCATTTTAAGTAATTGAATATTTAATTCTTCTGATATTATGGGTTCCTTATTTGAAAAAATAAATGATATTAATATAACTGGAGAAAACTTGTAGAGTTGCGCGCCTCCAACTTGCACGCAACCAAGAGGTGACTGTTGAAACTGGAAAAATGACAGAGTCTTGTAAGGGTTTAAGTCCCTTTTTATTCAACGTAATAAATTACAATTGCGTGCTCTTGACGCTCACAAACTACGCCAACTCGGCGGTAAAATAAAAATAATAACCTGAAAAGAAAATAAAGACAAGACTCTAACTACGAGGCTCTCTAAAAGTAACTAACTCTCACCGCGTTTTACAATACCGCTACTAATTCAGCAAACTTGAAGATCACGTTGAACGATTAACAATACTTCCAGGCAAGCACACAGGCCGAAACGCGGGGTTCTTCAATTTCTGGCTAACTACCTCCGCGCTCGTGAAGTAAGAACAGCACACCTCGAACTCGTTTCCTTTCTATTTAACTCAGAATACATCCGCTGATAATTTGAATCCTTGCGCGTTCTACTAAAATTTACATACTCTGGCATTGGCAGTTCCAGGGGAAAGTAAGGCTTGACAGGAAAGATAGTTTAAACTTAAAATAAATATAAACCCTACATTTGCCGCTGCCAGAATTTGGAAAACTTGGAAGCAGGTCCTACAAACGACCTGTTGTAAGTTTCTATAATTCTGAACTAACTCTCGAGAACCTCGTTTACACACACAAAAAAAATCTTATGTAACAAATTGTATACTAAATTTCTGTCGATACTTATAAATCTCTCTTCTTACAGCAACTTTTCCTGGACTTCATCAATCAATCTTGGTCTTTTCCTTCCAGCATCTGGAAGGAATAAGTATCAGTATCTTTCTAAATACATTATAATTTACACTTTCTTGACACAATAAATTTTTGTTTTTAAACGATTCGTTTTCCTTAGTTATTGCTTAATTCACATTCATTCAATTTTTCAAGCATTAATTTAACTTTACCCTGGCTCTCCACCATGTGTGGTGTCAAACGGGAATATTCGTGTTTTAGTCTTACAACACTTCCCCTAACCACCATGATTTGTTAGAATTCAACGACCAAATAGACACACCTTACTCGACATTCTACAACTCGAATGAGCTACTTTAACATTCTTAAAAATTCAAGTGTAGGTGGAGAACCCTACAAAACACATTCATTCTAACTTCCCCCTCATTCATCTTTAAACATGCAGGCTTTCGCTCTAAAGCATGACTTTATCTACAGTTTAATACTTAAATTTTGAATTCATTGCTTTTGAGCATTTCACTTTTAGCATCTAAAATTTTATGCTTCTAGACTAAATTCTACTTTTACATAACATTCAAGTATTTACGTACATTTACAAAATTTTAATACATATGATTTTTACAATTTACCATAAAATGAATAAGAGAAAATAAATTTTTACTTTACTCATTCTTCGCCAAGCTGGCGGCACTGAAACTAAAATTCTTATTAATACAAGAATACGAAGTTATTTTTATCTTCGGCCAAATTTTGGCTTTAACATAACAGAATTAGTCTTTCGACCAACAGAAAATGCTTGTTCTTAGCTTTTATACTTAAAGAAAATAATACTTTTGCCTTAGCTAAATAAAGTAAAACAAAACTAAGTCTCAACCGAGACATATTGACTTTCGTCAAAACATAGAACTTCGTACTTATGCATAACATTTCGGAACAAAAGAAAAAAAAAAATTTATAGAAGATTTTAACTTATCTTTGAGTTTTCGATGCTTGAAACTCCGTCATTCTTTTCTGGCAAAAATTGTTCCCAAGTTATAGGTTTCATGGACGTCAATCTTCTCCTTACTGACCTCCGAGTGTCGTCCACATTAGTTTTTCTTTTGCGTCCTCTGCATGCTGGCCTCTTGGCGGAGTAATCGTCGTTGGTTGTTGTCGTTTTTGTTTTTCCATGGGACGGCTGGTCTTGACGTCCTCCGGTCTGGAGTCCTTCTTGAATTTCTTCTGTTGTTCCTGGTATTTTTGTTCCTCCTGTTGCCGTTTCAGTTTCCGGAACGGCGGCCTTGCTGGCACCTGACTCTCTGGCCCTGGGCGCGTTCTCCTTGATGTATAATTTCTCCTGCGATCCGTTGTAGGTGTTTTCCTCTTTACCACGGTTTCTTTACGCGGTGCATCTGTATTCTTGTTTTTCTTAAATGCTGGAGTTTGAAAGTTTTTCATTTTTCTTTTTGGTACCGTCGTCCGGGTTGTAGAAGGGCTAGGTCTCTCTTCAGTTCTCTGCTTCTTGGGTGGTGGTGGAATAGTTGTTATTCTGGACCTTCTACTTCGTTTAGACTTGAGTCCTGCAAGAAACTTTTAAGGATTTCAAA